GTGACGCACCCCCAGGCAATGGACTGAGTATCAGACGGCGACGACCTTATGCATTAGCTGGTTCATCGGGCAGTCGCTTTCCAAAGCCATTCTTCTTTGGATAAGCAATAACATGTCGGCCTTTGACATCCATGCGCTTTACCGGAATCTCCTGCCGCGCCGCCGCGCCCATAGCTCTATCTCTAATTATTTGATATATGTCAAGGATACAAATTGATGGTGTTTCAGTCCAATCAGCAACAGTGGCATAGGCTAGCTGTTTGATCTGCCAATCAATGGGAGCTCGAATCTTGCAGAGCCAAAAGCGGAGCTTCCAAGGGTTCATCTCTTCCGGATGTCACCCACGCGATGGAATGGTTTGGATCAGACGGGCCAGCCTCCAGGAAGCCGTCACACAAAACCAGTTAATGGCTCCAAGCAATAGCCTTTTCAGCTTAAGACCACCACAGCCGTTCTTTTCTATCTTGGTCTATCCTTTTCTATCTTGGTCTGTCCTGCCTGTTGCTTTGCTCTCTCACTCGGTCTTCTTCTCTCTATTCTCCATCATTAAATCGCAGCTTTCCTTCATGCCCCTTCTTCGACCCTCGTTCTGACCCTGACGGGGAAAATCTACCCAAAGTCGTCGTTTCGGACGCCGCTCGGCAGCGGATTGCACTAGAAAGCACACGCCACGCGCAATGGATGTGCCCGAATAGAGCTAAGACAGCACCATCAAGAGGAACAGAACAAAAGACAAGCAAGCGTCGGCATCGTGAGCTTGGTTCAAGCACATGGCATCTGGTTTCAGCCATTAGAAGTAATCGTTCAGACAGAATTAGAAGAAGAACGGCCGCCACGATGCCTGCGACCATTCCGATGGGTACAGGTTCAGCCGAAAATGGATCACCAGGTGCTGTCGAAGTCTGAAGCGATGCTGACGCAACAGGACGATAATCTCTGTTATCAGGCTTGGGGGCCACCCGGAGCAGCATCCATGAACGAAAACCTTAGTCGGAGAGGTCACGGCAGTCACAAAGATGTGCGGGATGATCTAGTTTCATCTCAAACAGGACTTCATTCGTCGTCCATGTTTGTGGTTGGAGAGAAATGAAGGAATCGAAGCATGAAGATGTCCCAAAGACCATGGCGAAAGCTGATGGAACTAGGTCAGTAGCCCGTCAGCATATTCGATGAGACGACAGACAAGTGGAGGCCAAGGAGAAGAGACTGCGGGACGGATACGACAAAACCATTCGCGCATCACTATATCCCCCCCTCCCTCGCCTCTTGACGAATACCAGGAAAGTTTGCAAGGTCATGGTCTTGCTGAGACTTTTAACTATACACGCTCTGGAATTGAAGATGGACACTGGCCGGGTACGCCAATTCTAACGACATACAGGGATGAGCTCAGCGCCTTTGATCCTCTTCTTGGGCTGGACTGCTCCTCAGGCCCATTCACAAGCTGGTCTCTCAGCAGCCATACGTACGGTTGAAGTTCTGCGAATGCAAAAAGCCGTCGTGACTAGGCAATTCCCCAGAAAAGAGCTACAAAAGCAAAGGACCTGACCGAAAGTCGCATCGATGACTTGATCGGCTTTTCTCGGTAGGCTGCCTACCTGCGGAGAGCATGTTTCAGGCGCCGAGGTAGTGGCATGCATGTCACTATGCCACTCAATCGAAATCTTCTCACCCAATTACTCGCCTAATTACTGCTGGTTTAATGAGGTTGAAACACGAGGGAGGCTGAGCTATGGGTGGGTAACTGGATTAATCGAGCCACTTGACGCAGGTTATGAGCCCTCAGGCCTTGAATACATAAACACATGAGCGCATAGCCATCATGAATGCCATGAAACTCTCCGAGTTATGGACCCGTAATAAAGAATCGTATGATTTCTGATTATCTTCTCTGTTATTATTCTTGGTAATCTCAGCGAGGGGAAGGAGGAAAAAGAAAAAGCAGTATACACATGCATGCTTTCCCGTTGATTGAATCAAATTAGTCCTCAGGTACCCTGGTCCAACTCCATTTCTTCCCATACGGAGCTTCCTCGATGGTCCTTCACAAAATCTGCAATCATTGAACTCCCTTGATTGTCTGGCAGTTCACGTTCTCCAGCTACTAGAACTTTCACCACTACCCCAGTCCCCGGTTTCTGTACTAAAGCCATCAACGGCTGCAGTAGCATTGTGTCGTATTGTGGAAGGATGTCAAATCGATCTACAACGAAATAGACCACACACTGCTCGGATCCAGAGAACACAGCTCGTCTGTGCTGCACAAGTAATGCAATAGACGCTCTAAGAAAATCCATAGCAGCTGTCGAACAATCCTTTAGGGTCACATTTCCTATCCCGGTGCTGCGGGCGTCAATCTTTTCTCGGCTGCTTTGAGCGGTACTTAGAATTTGTTGGAGCTGAAGCTCAAAGTCTGGAGTGTTTGGGCTGCCTAGCGCCTCTCGACCGACAGGTGTCAACTCTAGTAATCGGTAGCCAAGAGAGAGAAGGACCAGAGCGGCGGCGGGAATAGGGCGACGAACACCTCCGATGTTAACTTCGTGCTTGTTGTCTGGCTCACAGAAATGCCACGCCACGATAGTTTGCTTGTCCTCTAACAATCGTACTGCTTCGACGCTCGCCTGGGATGTCCATGACAGAGCCGTGTCCCAGGGGGCTGTTGTTTGCCCATGAACAAGTAGGAATTTTGATCTTTTGATCTGTGCTGTTTCCTCCAACCAAATGTTGAATGCATCCTGGGAAGTCAAATCTTCGGCTCGAAAGGGGGGTATTCTCTTGAGGTGTGAGAACTCTTCATCTAGTGAGGAGACGAAGTCTTGTAGCTGGGTGGACACATTATTCGTAGGAAAGCCGAGAAAGGAGCGCGTCTTATCAAGCCTAGTGTTTGTCCTTTCGTTCTTGGTTTCTATTACGGAATCAATTAGTTCACATGGTAAGGCCAGGCCGGTAGAAGTGCAGCACCTACGCTCAAGCCCAGCATCTATTTTGCTCTCTACTCTGTCCAGCCGCAAGTGTGCCTCCATGTCACGCTCTTTGACAAGTTCTTCAACTGCGCTTCGTAGATCCGATATTTTCCTTTCCAAGTCAAGTTGGGGAGGTCGGACTACTGCGTGCCAGATCCTCATGGAGGAAGTCCGAGAGTAATAGACGGTTGCCTCTTGCATGAACTCAATACCAAGACGGTACACAGTAGCAACGCACTCCTTTAACACACTGCTGTTGCTATAGATGCCGACTAGCTTTTGTATCCGCGAATACTCAGACTTTAATGTCTGAATTGTGCTATAAAGCGCAATCTCTGTTTCGACCTTGTTCGCGGCAACCTGCGAGCATGTTATCAGGGATACTTCTAGTCTATAGCCCGATCAAGTAAATGGTCTTCATGTCTTTAAAGACACTCCTTGCTCATGAAAGCTTTCAGTTCTTACTTACCACCATGAATAGCCCTAGAGCTTGAAGAGCACCCGTCACGAAGCTCTGGTCGAGGCCCCCCATGAGCTGCACCACACCTGAGTAAGCTTGACAGTAGCCACGAAACCCCACCAGAAATTCGCACAGCCTTCTGCCAGCTCGTTTGCTGATTCTTGGATCAGAACGATGAGATGTCTCCAGCGAAGACGCGGTTTTGATCCGCTCATTAATGAGTCTGTCTAGCGCGTCGAGATCTGAGACATACAGAGCAGATACGTCGTCTGGTTTCGCTTTAGAGAAGGTGAATCGCCAACCACCTTCAAGGACCTTCTTGCGAATCCGTTGCCAGAGCAACTCAATAGAGTCTAAAGAAGTAGATGCGGCCTTCTTCATCACAGAGCTATTGGATGAGGAAGTAGATTAAGAGATTGTCACAATCAATAAAATTTAGATAAGAGGGTCAATGCTGATGCAGATCCTTACCGCTGAAGCTCATTCCCGGTTCTGGTCCAGAATCCTTCTATCTCTTCACTAGTGTATCTAACCCCATGTGAAGACGAGGCTGGTGGCTCCATGTTGGAAATGACGATCGTGAGAAGAGGTTTGTGGTGTAGCTGAAGATTTCCCGGCAGAGGAAGGATGTTTCCGTTTATACGTGCATGGGACATGCCTATCGGTGGTTTTCAAGAAAGCCCCCGGGATTTGTAGACACGGTTATAACGGAAAGGTAGCAGTGTAGCCAATACCCCAGGAATATTACGATTGAAGCCGTGCATTTATGAAAGCATGCATGGGATTTTCAGACCCTATCATGCCTCCACGAACACCAATACACACCAGCGAGAGGTTCTTAGCGTACAGAACGCTGTGTCTCTAAGTTGTATCTGCATGTATCGTGCAGAAAGGGCATCATAATATGTAGTAAGATCTATTTATATTAGACAATCAACCAGTTGGGATCACAAGTTGCCATCAGCTGAAAGAGGGGTTCAGAATGATTTGATGAGGGTAGACGTCTCAATGGTGGCCTCACTGTTGATTGAGGCTATTGTAAAAAAATGGCGGCAATTGATCTGTGGCTATGCATGTATGGGTGGTCAGAAAGTTGAAAATTACAATAAATATACATTTGTTTTATATAGCGGCTTACCTTTTTCAGGTTCAGCTATATACGACTATTGATTCATTCATGCAGTGATAACTACATAGAAGCTGATAGGTGGAAAAGAGCAGTCTCAGCCTTCACTATTATAAAAATAAGTAGCAATTTATCTGCGCCTATGCATGTATGGGTGGTCAGAAAGTTGAAAATTATAATAAATGTGCATTTGTTTTGTATAGCGGCTTACCTTTTTCAGGTTCAGCTATATGCAATTATTGATTTATTTATGTAGTATTTACTACACAGAAGCTGACAGGTGGGAACGGGCAGCCTCAGCATTTTAGAATCTTTTGTGTTCAGTCAGTAAATGTAGCTCGAATTCTCCAACTCGGAGAAAATGATGGTCATTTATTGTTTCATTGACTTCTAGTAACGAGACCCAAACATAATCATTCTACGAGTTCATTTTGCCCTGCAGTTTGATATTATGGCGACAGGAATGCAGCATTTCTCCAGCGACACCATTTCCACCCTCGAGCGCAGGTACATAGCGCTGCTCGAATTGAGGATCAAGGACTTGGAGTCTAGGGTTGGTGAGACTAATGAAGAGAAGGCCACTTCTGACCTTGTGCCGCTTGCTGGAAAGAGTATGAATTCCCAGCCAGTAAGTCATGAAAGAAACAAAGCTATTATCTCGGTAAACTCACTGAAGTGCTTGTGCTTACCACCCATGCCAGGGTACATCTGAGAGAGATATCGAGTTGAAAGAGAACGAAACCACATCGGCTGAAACCAATCCACTCAACGGTCCCCAGACGCCAAGGTGTCTCTTCGTCCAGCGTCCACTGGAACCTATCAATGGCTCGGCAGAGTGCGCCTTAGAGCGTTCCGAATTGGTCAAGCTGGGGCTGGAATCCATCGAGACTGGAAGCGAAAGCCAAGGGTCGCCCGAGCAGCTGAAATATTCCAGAATCGTGGAAGAGAATGGTAGATATTTCGAAACTGAGATAAGCGTCCAAGCACCAGAGCTGAAGGCCTTGTTGAGTGTAGCTCTCGAGGCATATCCCAATTTGCACCTTCCCCCGCCTGATTCGCCTTCTTCCTGGGACAAAACAAAGGATCCTGTCGTCTTCGTCAGCCCTTGCGAGCCTCTGATACACAACTGGGACAGACTTAATGACTTGGCAATCGAGGATTCGCTTCGGACGGAGGAAATGAAGATTCGTATTCAAAAGCTGGGACCTCGTACAGACGTCACGATGGCCGGGTCCGAGGAGCAAAAAGCACGAGCGCTGGAGTATCTGGGAAAAGCCAGCAACCTTGAGAACGCACGTGCACAGCTGAAATTGATGCTAAAGCTCGTCAAGACGATACCAGAGTTGGCCAAGTACTTTCAATCAGTCGAGGCGCAGAACAACACTGGGTCTATTCAGTTTGAGCATCTGTGGACCATCTTTCCACCTGGGGAGATCGTTTTCTCAACACTGTTCATGAACGAACCCCAGCTTTTCATCGTCAAGGACTCCAACGACACGCGCGACGTAGACGAGAGACCTGGAAAAGACACGTCAGATGTGTCATGGTCAATTGTTGCTTGGGCCTACGACTGGGACGGGGCTTGTTTCAAGAGAGTGCCAGTGCAATTTCGATTCGAACAGTATACGGGAAGCAAGGTTATCAGTACACTTCATTGCCATCCATTCAAGTTCCACAAACCGGAAGACGCGTCAAGATCTGATGAAGCTTCACGAGAAGCAATGGAAGAGGCATTGCTAGAACGCGGTAAGAGGTTTGCGGAACTATGCGTGAAGCAGCAGGGATCACAGATGTTCGATTACGACGGATTTGTAGTCTCTCACGGTACTGGCTTTCAGAATCAGGCCGACGATAGTGGCGACATCTTGTGGCGCATGATATTTGGTATAAGCAGCCAGAGGAGCAAAGAGCGAAGAGCGCCCAAAAAACGACGTATCCAAGGCCGTGTGATGGTGGACTTCGAAGCTTACCTTCAGTACTCGCCATGGTCAGGCACTTACGCACCTATGGGTTCGGCAGACTTTCCTCGCAGAGATAATGAGTGTCGATGCCCAGCTTGCGTTACGAACGCAGCTCTCAGAGACAGCCAGAAGATGGCATACGATGGCGTGAAGACGCAAACCCATTTCGAAGATCTCCAGTTCAAGATTTGTCCTCCAAGGGTACTTGGCTATCATCTGGATTGAAGAACTTGGTTGGAGTTAAATGTAGGAAAACAAAAGACAAGCTCCAGCGAAGCCACCAAAGAATGGGAAAGCTACCTCAAGGACATCAAGGAATTGCGTAGCTCGCAGGCGTTTGAGAAGCTACAGCTTCTTCCAACACAAAAGTCGCTAATCAAGGACCTAGTGCGGTGTCACTCCAGTGGGGCTAATTCGAAGCCATTGATGACTGACATCATCAAAGGTAAAGGAAAGGGGCTAGTGATTTTACTTCACGGGCCACCAGGTGTTGGGAAAACTCTTACGGCAGGTAAGTCCGCCATCGATTTTGTCAGCATAATCAGGCACAGGAATCCTTCGGCTAAGCACTCTGCTTCTTTTTCTCTTTAGAAAGTGTCGCCCAGCTCGCCGGCAAGCCGCTATTTTCTGTCGGTGTTTCCGATATTGGTCTCAAACCAGCGGAAGTGGAGCAGAATCTCGAAGCTCTCTTCGAACTGGCAGCTAATTGGCGGGCTGTATTGCTGTTTGACGAAGCCGACGTGTTCCTCGAGTCGCGGAGCAGTCATACATCAGATCTCAACCGCAACGCTTTAGTGTCGGTCTTGCTCAGGGTCCTCGAATATTATGAGGGCATCTTAATACTTACGACGAATCGTATCACCCAGTTTGATATTGCCGTACAAAGCCGCGTAAATTTGGGCATCAAATATGATGATCTACAACGCGACCAGAAACAGGAGATCTTTGACAACTTCATTGGCCAGCTCAAGCCTGACCAGGTGAAGGACAAGGAAAAGATTCAAAGCTGGTTCAAGGACGAAGAAGAGGCTAGAGATTGGACTGAGGGGCTTAATGGGCGGCAAATCAGGAACATTTTGTTTTCGGCCGCGAGCCTGGCTCAGCAGGATGGTGGAGAACTGGACTTGAAACACATATCTAGAATGGCGAAGAGCACTTGGAGATTCCATGACAGTATCAAGACCGTTGTTGACGAGGCACGCCGGAGAGCTGAGGCCGGGAGGAAATAGAATTTGGGAATAGCCGCCCCTCGCTATCGTCCTCCACTTCTCTGTCTTCCTTCATAGCGACAAACTTTGTTCATACGTCTTTCATCAACAAATTCTGCTGCCTGCCAGCGTTGATTGTATACGTGTTTGGCAGGTATAATCAGTACAAAGGCGGCTAATAAAAAAGTCTCATGCCACCTTACGGCGGCGGGTGATCTGGCTGCACCTGAGCAACATGGTAGCATTTTTAGCCAAGCCTGAAGGTGCATCTAAGTTTAGTTTGTATAGTTGCGGAAAGGCGAAGGACCAGGGGGGATTGGTGCATCGGTTCTAGCCAAGGCCTGGTTCGTTGAGTCAGTTGCGGCAGGTTTGTGATGCATGTGTCGGTCCTCATGTGTCGTCGAACAGTTGCTGAAGCTGCTGTGAGATGCCTTTCCCGCTTGCCATTCTGCTTGGCAGCCAACGCGGGGAAGGGAATATGCCCGCTGAATGGGTGATGATTGATTTGATGTAGTGACCGGAGCTTAAATCAAGACTTACTTTCCGGCATTAATGGCCCGTTTTTCCAAGAGACAGATCAGGTGGAAAGTGGCAGTATCTTCTTCGGCAGAGTCTTGCGGCAGAGCTCCATGACATTATGCCATAGATTCTCATCCTTATCCACATAATGTTCAATCGCGCACCCTGATCTTGTTAGCAGCGTGTCAGTGATGACCTTCATGAGGCGCTGCGAACATTCGATCCTCAACACACAGGAAAGGAGGCATCTGTGCGTGCCGTCTATGCGTTTTCGCGTCACCTGCTCTTCGGTTCCTCAACTGCACTCCAGAGAGGCCGGACCGGATGACAACCATTGTTGTCGACATCTCAAAAGATTCGCATCTCACAAATAGCCATTGAAATCGAGAGATTGAAGGCTCCCAATTGGAGACCCTATCAGCGGCAATTCATGCGCATGCCGCCGCATTTCGATTGGGAGTTCGACTCCTTCACATGCAGTAGCGTCAGGGGAAACTCGTCGCCATGAACTCTCCCGCGGGGTAAGACTCCATCTCATGGGAGTGTAATCGTCTGGGTTCTCACCTCTGGGATTGCATTGGAAGCCAATTCTTTGACGATTATGTTAGGTTTTCTTCCTCGAGTTGACTTGCGTTTCCACAGACGGAATTCCCCCTCCTGATATCTCTCCTGAACCAAGAACATCTCGCCACTATTCTCACGAAGATAAGCTTACGGGAGTCAGCGGCAAGCCTTGCTTTCAAATACAACTTGAAGATGCGGTCTGGAAATGGCAAGAGTTGGGCCTCGTCGGAAGCTTGAGAACTCGGTAGAGCGCCAGCGAAGTTGCCGCGAATAGCCCCAGTCATCAACCCCTGCATCATGTCTACCTCGACAGATGAGCCAGCCTTTGACAAGAAGATGCGATGGCACTCGCTCTGCAACGCCTCACAAGGTGGTTCCAGGACCGCATGTTTTCATCCCGGGATCTTTCTTGGATTTGCATGTTTCTATGCCAGCCGCGACTCCGAGAACATGCGGCTCGACCTGAAGTATGCCATGATTTTGTGACATGGGCTGTGTGTACCCGTGGCTGTTGGATAACATCACCGTCATCCACTCGGTCGTCGACTCGTTCTGCACCGAGGTGGTATTTACGATGGTCCAGTCCGCTTGAAGTTCACCAACTTCCACCAGTGCTCCTTGCCTCCCATACAATGAGTTCATTTTACACAGATGATCAGCACGATCTTGTAGAATCAGCTGCACCAATTGGGTAGCATCACAATGCCGAATGGTTTCTGCGGGTCCATTCCACCAGCTAGTGCCTTTGGACGAAAGCAGCTGTGTTCATGATTGGAATATTGGTGACAGATGTCACACAAGCTGTCGGTGAATCTCCGTTCGCATCAACTGGATATGATGATTCGAGCTGCCATAAGAGCGGTATGCCGTAGACGAGGACCTTGCAGCCGTGCATTTCATCATCAGCGGGAGCGTCGCGGACGCCTCTTCTGTTTATTCCGCGCTGATCAGGCTGGCTCGTTTATAATATACGCTCTCGACCCTCGTAAACGAGGACTTTGCAGTAGTGGTTCAGGAAAAGTTGGGACTGTCAGCACCACCGAGGTTGTATGACGTTAATTGACGAGCAGGGAAGACCGACTCTGTTTCTTGTGATCTTTTGGAAAGGCCACCTCTGTGTGGAGCACGGTGACTCGCCTTTGGTTCTGTTACCAGACCCTACAGCGAGCAGTGCAAGCCCCCATCGCTTCATAGACGCTTGAAATCAGAGGAAGTTCACTGCAGCGACGTCAAGGAAGCGCAGACCCAAGTGGACATTGCGTGTTTAAGGGGAGAACTTGGTCTGGTCAGGGCTTGTCATGTGCGACTATGCCACGCATACTAAGGTCAACTGAAGTCCCGACCTCAACCGGGACCAGGTCATTCCTGTCAGCTATAGTAGCAGAAACCTGTTTTTTCTTTGATTCCTTGATAATTCTAGACAAGTGCTTAGTGGCTAACAGGTCCGGAACTTCAAGTGGGTGAGGACGTTGCTGGAGAAGTTTCTGGTTGGAAGAAACGCCAAGATCCAACATCGCAACGCCAGATGTATGGCGGCGAAAAGCGAGAATATGGCACTCTCCGTTGATTTGATGCTGTTTCTGTTGCATTCGAAGCTGTCGGTGCTCGAGCCTTTCGAAGATGAGCAGCCAAGTGGCAACGAGGCATCATCTTCGACTCAACATCTGCAACAGAAGGTGAATATCGACAAATGACTCGCCATGCGATGAAACTCGACCACATGCGCTCGAAGAAACATAGATGCCCCTTCTCTGTCTCACATGTCATTGTTCCCTTTGAGATATCTGTTGACCAGTAATCGATGCCTTGTATTGTTGATGGCTGTGATGAAAATGGGTTGACGAGACAACAGGTCGTGGGATTGCCGCTGGGGATGATAGATCACGACGTGATGTGGGCGATGATAATCCCGGATTGGTTAGGCCATGGGAAATGGCCGATTGCGTTGCCATCGTCGCCGTCTTGTGTTGGTGATGGTTTGGGCACCCCGCCGAGTTGCCGGAGGCAGATTTCATCCCCTCAATACTAATTAGGGAAGCCGTCCAGCGGTTGTTGAGAAGATTCTTCGGCGAAAGACCGCCGGACTTCTCTCTCCCTCCTTCGACTGGAAAACTTGTGTTGGCTTCCTGCAGCCGCCGCAGCAGGAGCTTGGGCGTGACGCTTCCCCTTGAGACCGTGCTGGAAAGCAGTTACAAGTAGAGATTTGGCGGGGCGTAGACTGTTGTCTGAAGTTGACACCTTAGCTGCATCCTCTGTGTGAGTGGAAACGTTCTTGCTTGCGTTGCAACGCCTGAAGACTGAAATTCCTTCAGAGCTACCTCCACAGAAACCTCAGGATGCTTTCTCACTGTGCTTCTTCGCATATGTATCCAGCTCCACCCAGGAAGCACTTCGACGCAACCAGGTCTTGAGGCTTGCTGATATCAAATGATGTCAAATTTGCGTCGACATTCACATTGGTCTTAGGCCTCTGCTTAGGAAGTAGAAGCTTAGGGATAAGGCTTTTTCTTCCATAGCCTCGCTTCAGTGGCGTTTAAGAATCGAAAAGACAGCTTTTGTGAGCGAGTGGTTTCTGTATTCATTTTTAGATATGGACAAAGCGTCTACATGCATCGTGCAGGACCTCCGAGTGGCACAAGAGCCAGAAGCCTCACACCGATCTCGCTGGCTCCAACCAAGAGCATCGACACCCAGCCAAGAGGTTCACAGAAGCATGCAAAGGGGAGACCCAGACTCATTTCGTCCTGAGCAAGCCTGCTGCGCAAGCCGCTAGTGAAGTTGCTCGCTTGAGGAATGGTATCTTGGAAATGGTGGATTGAATGCAGCCACGCGGCATCATCAATTGTTTGCTCTTGACTCGTACCTACTCAGGCAGAGGAAGATTGGGTAAATAGTTTCACATGTTCGTGGGAATACCATCAAAGAAGGGGGCATCATTGCTCATTACAAAACACAAGAGCCAGGTGGCGATGTCAGGGACACCACCAACTCTTTCAATCCCAAGCATCTTCCACCCAATGCCAATGCCACCGCCCTGGGTTTGTCATCGCCAAAACAGCCATCGCCCACGCTGCTTTAAACGCTCTTCGTGCCATGAACTACTTAAGTCTGTTAACCTTCACTTTCTTCCTCGATCTCAAAGAGTTGCTAAAAAACCGTCAGTTCCGCCGTCTTCACTCAGGCTCAGGATCCACGCGTCAAAACGCAAAGTCTCAATCTCGCCAAGAAAGACCCGCGTGCCCCTCCAAATTGTCGCTTGCAAGGAGTGAAGCTGACACATCTTTTGGCATCGAGCTCTGGACTACGGCTACTGATAATGAATGGGATCATGGCGGACAACCGAGCCCCGTGTAAACGAAGCCATGCACTCGCAAGGCAATGCTTCGGGTGAAGACCCAGATCGCCAGCAGAGCATGAGACGAACCCAAATCTGCGCAGGGTATAGCCCCTCAAGCACGTCCGTGCTGTCAAGACTTCTCAGCGCAGAGTCAGATCTGGCCGACTATCGTCAACATTCAGTAACGGTTCCCAACCCGTCAGTACCCAGTTGGGCTATCATTTGAAAAACTGCTCGGCGCTGCGTTATTTGATGATCGAAGTGATTTCCGGTTGCTGGAAAGGCGCCGCTCCCTCGCTGCCCCCATTCATGTCCAAATCAAGAGGCAAGAAGACCGAAAGCTCCTGGAGACACTGTGGCGCCCTGAAGTCGCAATGTCATCTTGCCAAATTATTGAGCCATGGTGTTTGAGCGCATTTCATTCGCTCACGCACCTCCAAGACCTGGCTGGTCTGTCGTTCGAGGCCAAACAATCCGTGGGAAAGACCAACTCAAGACACTGTCACACCGCCTTCACATCCGCAAGACCAACTCCACATGACGCTAAGTTTCCTACAACATGGACAGGTTCACCATCAAGCTCAGTTCCTGCCACCGCCAA